GAATTCAATGAAACCATATGCTCGTTTACTGTTATTCAGTCTACAAATGAAGTAATTTTAACATCTTATTACTTTATAGTGTCTAATGAAACAAAGCGTTTGTGATAAATATTTGAATGCTTTAAAAAACACAGTTGAATAAGCTCTATTATGCATGATGCATTCTAACATCATACAAATACATTTTTCGACATCATTTATATTGTAATAACTTCAAGTTGTTTATTGAGTTGTAAAAACTAGTTTGATGAGAAGCTGTACTTAAATAATCTTTATGTGAACATGTAAATCAGGATACATAGTAAAATTAATTTGATTTAGAGTCGGTTATATTTAAGTTATGGGTGACTGATAGCCTTGGCGAAGATTTCCAACAAGTAAAGCCGTGCTACAAATGAATATATTATTTGACATATCATATAGCTGAAAATGAGTGGTAGAAGAGAAGTTAGTCTGAACAGGTTTGGATTTCTGAGGGAATATCAATTACCTAGTAATTACACATACACCTTACTGATTATCTTTACTTGGATTTGTTTTAGGATAATGCTAGTACATGATAGTAGGTGACCTGTTGGGTTGTGACTTTTTAAGTAATTGGTTCCTGCTCATTTCACAAAGCTTCTCTCTAGCACATTGTTGTTAAGTCTCAAACTGATAAGAAATAACTAGTAGGTGTTTTTTTAATTTTTTTCATAACGATTTTCAGGCTATATCATTTCGTGATGAAATCTACCATTAGAACGAAACATTAACTGGTGAAATGTCTACGCTGAATTCATAGTTAAATCTGAAAAATCAGATATTTTTTATTGATAATACGATTCTGTAATCGTAATATATTGTGAGAACACAAATTCAAGAACTCAAATTGCTTTAATAATACAATAATGAATAAATCCAGATAGATAGAAATTCTCAGTATAGGGTTGTAGAGATTGTTGAGTTTTAAGTAAGATCATGAATCGATTAATATTAAACCACCATTAGACCACCAACAGTGCACATCCACGATCCCGCATATGGGATTCGAACCCAAGACATTTTTAACGCTTAAACGTTAGACTATTTTGTCAGCATCCAACAACGTTAATGTCTAACTTCAACTAAACCACGATCTTGTGTGACCATCTTTCGTTGTTTTCAGTGAATAATTGTCTCCACCCAACATGGATTGATCTTCACTGGTAACGGCTTCTGACCAGAACTGTGAGAATTACCTCCGGACTCTAGTCAGTACTAAGCACATGATAATAATCAGTATAGGTTTTCAGTGGTGATCTAATATTGCTCGGTTCATGAACTCAATTAAAAATAGGAATTCTTAAAATTTTATATAATAATACAATGAATTATGGTAAGCGAAGTTTTTACAACCATGTAAACTTCTATTAAAGAATTTTACATAAAACATAGAAAAATAAATTTTATTTCATCCATCATTTATCTATAACAATTAAGTTGATCTTTAAAATTTCTCTTAAATATCTTAGATAAAACTGATTAATGCCAAAATAATATAATGAACTCTTTACCTTTATATAAACATAAAATAGAACGGAAATAGAGCAGTTATTAGAAAAGTCATAATACTATCAATAGTGTATACATATGTATTATTATACATGATTATTATTATTATTACTAGAGATTAAGGTTAGTATTTGAAAAAAGAGAAGAAAATCTTCAAAGGTCATTTGTACTTAGTCTTCTGAATGGTAATAATAATGTAAGATGATGAATTATTATTTTTACTAAAATAGAATTTGAGTAGTTAGGTTAATTGAGGACATTAGAGCTGAATGAAGTAAGACAAAAAAAATTAATAAACAATAGTGATCAGTTAAAACCAATTCAATTGATCATTGAATTTTATTTTGTGTGTATTTAAAATGAAGTTTTAAATAAATTTTACATACTTGATATTGTACTTCATATTCATGAGGAAGAGATAAAATAAAATGATGGATGACTTTGAGCAAGCATATTACATTCATTAAAATTTATAAATAAGATAAATCAAGCTTTAAGCCTGAAGATATTGTGTAATTTTAAATTTGAATATTCGGTTACAAATCTAGTATATGTGTTACATATATACAGCTTATATGTACCTGAGTATAATAATTTTGATGTATGAGTGTGTGGTTTCATTGACAATGATTGTTTTATTGTTTAGCTGTTTAAATATGTTACTAGAACCTGAATTGATTATGTCATTTATTAACCACCTGATCATTCAAAGATATTTTAATCTAGAAGTAATTAGACAAATATAGTTTGCTAGAACTGAGAGAAGATTAACTGGATCGTAGAATGTGAGACGCTTAGTTCCTTTAAAAAAAGAAAAAAGGATTTCAAGTTGGTTTTTGTCTGGAGTTGTAATGTGAATAAATTAGCAGTAATCTTTATAGTTTGATTTACGAATTAGGCTTAGGCAATCGTTGGAAACCAAGAAGTAATGATCAGGCGTGAAATCTAAGGTCAGTAAGGAATGTAAATTATAAAACTTAGCAATTACCACAAATTCTCCAAACTAGCAAAAGTCTACAGCGAGTAAATTTAACTGTCTGTTTACTCTTACTCCGATCAATGATTTGACGATCGGATTATGTTACTTCAAACAGCATAAATGATATGGTTAAATTAATACGGGTATTTAGTTAATTCATTAGAATTACGTATTTCTGATAAAATTTAGAGGTTTATTTTTAATGTCAGAATTTTACTTTGAATCAAATACCACAGTTAAATGGTGAATCTGTACTTTAGTAAGTTTTTAATCTATTCAATGAGTTACAGTGTTTTTATTAATGCAGTACATTATTATTAGAGAATACGTTGAAGAAAGTGGATTAGTTTTTTGAAAACTGATTGGTTCGCGTTAATCAAAAATAGTATTTGATTGTAAAAATTACCGATTTGTTAATTCCTATAATTTAAACTAAATAAATAAGAATCAAAATGGGAACTAAGTCACCATGGAATCAAAACAAGACCTTAGAATAAAATATTTTGATGAACGCGTTCAGGATGAATATATAATTAAATCTTGCAGATCAATTAAAATGTTCAGAACAAATAATAATAAATATTTTAATAGTTGAGATCATTAGTCAATCAAAGTTAGAACACCGTTGAAAACCTAGGAGCACTGGACTGCCGTTTCGTCCTATTGTGGGACTCCTCAGCAGTGCATATCCACGATCCCGCCTCTCGAGATTCGAACACAGGATCTATCAGTCTCGCGCGTGAATGTTTAACATATAGATCACTGAGCTGGCATCCAATGGTGTTAATGTCTTACTTCAACTAATCCACGAAATCAAGCGACACATTCAACATTGTCCTCACTGAGTTACTTTCTCATTACAAACTCAGTTAAAGTCCACTGGTCACGAGAGACCGATAGGTCCTGTGTTCGGATCTCACAAGGTGGGATTTTGGATGCGCGCTGCTGAAGAGTCCCACAATAGAGCGAAACAGCCGTCCGCTGATTTTAGATTTTTCATGGTGGTTTAGCTTCAATTGACTTATGATCTTAACTATTAAAATTACTACAATACCCACAAAAACCCCTTCTGATAATAACAAATACGTTTGACGTTATATCCCTATGAGTAGAATAATTGTATTTCTGATGTTTCGTGACTTGATGTAAGCCACTTCTTCAAAGTAAATAAAGAAGTGAATTACATTTAGTCACGAAACGTCAGAAATACAATTTTTTCTACTCATTGAGATATAACAATAAATATATTTATTACTAACTCTACCCAATCCTCAATTTATTTAAAACCATCAAATCCGACCTTGGCATTGATACTTATAAAATTAAACCAAATGTTAATAAAAATAAACATGGATTCTAAAGTTGCTTATAATCACCAATATTGTTTGAAAAAAAACAAGAAAATTTCTATACTAATTACTAAAGGCTATTTTACCTTCTTACATTCCTTACCAAAAAAGAATCCAGTTATAAACAAGTGAGGATGTATTACAATCTTGTAGCTGTCATAATTTACATTATTAAGACTAAAGGAAATCAGAACCACAAATACAGGAAATTATAAAGGCATTACAAATCAGTGAAATTATTGTTTAAGTGTTTTGATTAAGTAATTAAGGACTATATTTATGGTAAATTTTAACATAACATTTCTAAAGTGTTTATTTAACGAATTGGACTGAAGAGTTTATGACAACTATTTTCAAAAGTATACTGTACTTTTTAATTTAGTTACCTTATTTTCAGGTGAATTACATACCTGAAATCAGAGAGAAGCACTAAGAAGAAACAATAGAAATTTATGTTCTATTCTTTGGACAACGAAATATGAATATTTCGTAATATAAATAAATTTTAAACAATTTAATGGTTTCTATGTAGTGTAAAAAATAGTAATAAATCAACTATTGTTCTACTCGTTTCAGGATATCTTCAATATAATGCTTGTAACTTTGTTAGCTATGTTTACATGTATTTTGGTACTGATTATATCAAGTTTGGAACTTAACTGTTACCACTTAATACCTCATAAAATAATCCGTTAAACAATTAAGTACAGATATATATATCATGTATAATGACTGTTTGTGTAATTTATTTTTAAATTGATTAATAGTGGTTATAAAAGTAGCAGATGTCGTGACTAAGTAATCAAATAGGCAAACTTTAGGATATTTAATTCATTTGCTGTAAGGTTAGTTTGTTAATGGAAAATTAAGCTCACTGTATTGTAGATTAATTAAAATTAGATATATCAGGTGTGTATGGTACGTACAGAAAACAAATAGTTCACATACCAAAGATGTTCAGTTTGACGAAATATTCTTAAATTATACTCCACTAGTTTTTAAGTTTGTTCAATAATATTTGAATTCATAATAATAGATTGCATGTATAGAAACCTGAAATTGAAGCCAATTCAAAAAGAATTTTCAATGTCAAGTGGTTGATTGATTATTATTGTTTCACCTTTTTTTTTATTTTCAAGACTGAACTGTCTCAGTCACTTCAAGCACTATCGGAAAGAGCTCGTTCAGCTACGGAGCACATACAACGTTTAAGATCAAAGTCAGAAACTGTTAATGTAAGTTTCTTTTCAGGTTGAATATAGTTAATATTTCATTATCAAAAAATTTGTAATCGGTAATTACATATTATATTATGGATATGAGTGTGTATCTCTAATGATCTGAAAGTATTGTCTATGTAAACATCATCATCTAAATGTTAGACAGTAAAAAAGTTCGGTATCATTTGACATCTCAAAAATATTAATATATTTTAATTGATAAGATAATTTAGCTTTATCAGTATTGGGGTTGTAGAGATTATTAAGTTTTTGATTGAAATCATGAAACGAAACGGCCGTCCAGTGCTTCCAGGTTTCAAACAGTGGTCTAACATCAGTCGGTTGATGATCTCAATAAAAAAATTTAGCTTTAGTTGACGGAAATATTAAAAGAAGATAGACGGATGAATCACAGAACAATCCGTAACCAATAAAGCCCACTATTTAAGAAAATTGTGTTTATGATTTTTTAAATACGTTTGAACATTCAGTGTAGCAATAGCCTCTGCAGCAGTAGGTCATTATCTATTTAAACATTTAAATATTGGTACAAGGAGGCACCAAATAGATATGCTCCACATAAATTTTCCGATTTATGGGATACTGGAACTGAGATATTGCCTGGGTGGCAAGACCGAAGTAGGTGATTTTCTTAGGCCGCCACTTCCCGAGCCTCTGACCTGAAGGTCTAATCTACAAGGCAGTGGAGCAACGTTAGGAGATGCAGTTCTATAGTAGCCGGTAATCAATAATTGGTTCATACACCATTTGTACCTTTAGGATACCGGAGCCCATGGTCTCCATTGGCTTGGAATCAGGGTTTTCCAACTCCCGTAGGAGGACTCTCCTAGTCCGCCGGACATTCACTTTTCGTCCTCTCAAGTACTTAAACAACACCCTCACCGAAAGGACTCAGTGAGTAGGACTTTCCAGGCATTGCTTGTATGCACGTGGCCATCTGATAGCATTTCGAAAAGGAGAGAGGACTCTCTCCACACTCGGCCGTACCAGGGCATTTGGGGGCTGAAGGTATGTCTAGACATTCATCAGAGAAAAAAAAGATCTGAAAATATAACACAAGGAGTGCCAGCCAAATCACATTTGATGGGAAAGCTCCGGAAGAAGTGAAGACTTTTATGTACCTGGGCAACACCACTAATAAACGAGGAGGATCTGGTTCAGATGTGAAGACATGGATTGACAAAGTAGGGGCAGTCTTCCTACAAGTAAAGATCGGGAACACTAAACAACTATTAGTCGATCAAAAATCAGAATTTTTAACATAAACGTTAAGACAATTCTATTGTGTGCAACTGAAAATATGAGGTCTATTACAACTATCATAAAAAAGTACGGGTATTTATAATTACTTGTCTACACAAGATCCATCGGCCGGACACCATCAGCAGCAGTCTTTATTGGTAGAGTACAAATCAGTTTTCAACTGAAGAATAAATTAAGAAGAGATACTGGAGATACATGTAACATACATCCACGAGGGTTAACATGAGTAAGTAAGTGAACAAGCTGGGATTACATGAAAAATGGTTGAAATTTGAATGTAGTTTCCATTACAAACCAACACAACTTCATGAACCACTAGAGTATTTAGTAGATTTAGTGATGTCGCCTAAAATATTACTCCGTGGTGTAACAAAAATTGATAGATAGTAAACAATCAAGGTAACTGTTACAAAAGCGGTATACTCTGAACCCGATGATTCATCATGGGTCTTTCATGGCTTTTTAGGAGAAAAATATCAGCACAGACGTTTAGGTAAATAAACCACTTATCATCTACATCATTTACTGATTTTATCTAGGCAACTAATGTATATCAAGAAACGTTGGACAGCTGTTATGTTTTTGTATAGGACTGCTCAGTAGTAAGCACTTACAACTAAAATGTGAATCGTTAATTGTTCAACTTAGGTCAATCTGTAAACCTTAAATTTTTAACGATCTCCGTGATCCCCTTACAATACAATTTTATCGTATAATTTTATGATTACGTTTAGACTATTTCTATGTCCTGATTCAATTAGTCTAACTCTCGAAGTTTCTATAAAATAAACGATTTGTTTGATTATACGTAAAAAGTAGGGTAAATATTTTACTGATAAAGCATAAAATTAAACAAGTCATATCTATCACTATTTATCAACACATTTTATATAAAATGAGAACTGATAATTGATGAGATAATGATCACTTGATGGTCAATTATTTATTTAACTTGTCTAATTTGAATAACTATGTATAGTATTATACTGTGAGTAAAGCAGAGCAAAGTATCATAAGTGTATAATGCTTTTAGCTAAACAGCACATATTGACTTAAAAGTTATTCAAATAAAATGATCGTGACGTAAATATGTTTTTGGGGGGTGAGTGGGAGAAAGATGGTCAAAATATTATCTAGTAATATCTATAATTTGACATGTGAATTATGCTGGTAAAATACGATTATGAAGTTTCATCATGAGATTTATTGATACTCATCATCAGGAAAAACTAGACAAGGTAATAAGTTGAAACTAGCAGACAAATTTTTTAAATACTTAGATAAACGATGTATTACTTGTGATTAGTGTCAGTGGTCTGCAGATGTGTATCATCTTGTTTGTTGCATAGATTGTTTAGATCATTTAACTCCACTTCATTAGTCACGTTGTTCCTAATGAACCCAGAATATACATTTTTCATAATGTACTTCAATGTACCAAAGAGTTCCGACTAAATCATGGCTTTATACCATAAAACTAATGGGCTGTAAGTTTTGACTACTCAGTTTGGTATAGATTTCTGTTTCTCATCAGTTTTCTTACATCTGGTTTTATCTCTGAACTATGAATAGTGATTATTCATTTTGGTTGGTATTTATTGGCACTTACTACTTACCAAAGGTTATCAATCAAAGCTATAAAATAACCTTTTTAAGAATGTAGATTAATTAATTAAAAATCTTAAGATAGGTACTGATAAACTATGCAATATTAGTTCTTATTTGTTTCCACAGAGCTTGAAAAAATAAAGCATTTCTTATTATCAGAAGGGGGTTTTGTGGAGGTTTTAGTAATTTCACTAGTTGAAATCATGAGTCAATTGAAGCTAGATCACCATAGAAAACCTGGAAGAACTGGACGGCCGTTAAGTTTGCTACAGTACATCAGAATATTTTAATAATTACAGAAAAACAGTTCAGATATCATTCAAAATTCATTAACTCAAAGACATATATCAGAAGATAAATATGGACATAAGAATTGAAATCATGACTACCCATTAAATAACTTCAATCATGTAGCCCTATGCTTTTCTATAGTTTACAAAAATAAACATTATTCTCAATTCTTTTTCTTTCTCACTTTATAATTTCATAAAATGTAAATTAAACACAACAAAAACAGATTGATTCATTGGGTTTTAAAACAGTGAAAATTCTATAAAAAACATTTACTGTTTACGGAAAACATTTTACGTGATTGTAAATAAGATAGGAAAATGTTTGATAAATTACTAACAATGAAATCACTTTAGAAATATGTTGAAGTGTATATATTATTAACAACTACGATGAAATATGTCAATAAATTCCTTAGAATACTGTGTTATAGAGTGTCGTGAATAAAGACGCTTGAAGTTTGAGTGTCTACAGTGTTACGCTATTAATATTCGTTTCATCTGCTGATCAGCAACGGGTTTTATGAACTAGCATATTCACAAGTTTGTAAGATTTTTTACTAGTTATTACAGGAATTTAATTCGAATCTCACGGGGCGGGATCGTGGATATTCACTTCTGAGGAGTCCCATAATTGGACGAAATGGCCGTCTAGTGCTTCCAAGTTTTCCAAAGTGGTCTAGCTTCAATTGACTCATGATCTCAACTATTGAATTCAATTTAGTTGATGTAATTTTTTTGGTCATCTTGATGACTTTTATTCCGAAGTTATTTTTAAGCTAATAAATATCATTTATGAAGATTCGAACATAAAATGTACTAAATAGAGAATAAACAGAATTTTTATTTATACATTATTTATTATTTACTATTGGGGAATCTATTTTTTGTATTCTGATATCAGCTTAATAGGTGTTTCATTCAAGTTCGTGACTTCTTAGCTTTATATGCTTGCCACCTCTAAAGGACCTGCTGCTTACACGACGAGGGAATTTTTTATAGATGAGCTATTTGAAACCCGATATTTTACATTTCCAGTCTGTCAGTACACAATATAGCATAATAGTTATTTAGGAAGCTTATTCAATGACAGCCTTATTCCACTGTTATAACTTAATCCCAAAGTTAGTTGTTAGTATCCAGATGATTAATATTACAGTGAACGCATTTGTAAAGTTTAATTTTCTCTACTAACTCAAACCCTCCGGAAAATCATTAAAATAATTGAAGATTTGGTTAACAGTTGGGTTTCGTAATTAAGTCAAAGAGTGATTAAGTGATGATCACTAAAATGAGTTTCCTAAATTATTACCTTTTTAATATTTCCTCATTATTGAGTGTAAACATATATGAAAGTTCATGAAACCATGTATTCTAATGCAGATGAATTCAGTTGTATAAAAGCGATACACTGTTGTGTAATATTTTAGTGATACCATTCAGCTAAGCGGTTGGAGATAGGTGGATTTAGCATAAAACTTGTGGCTCACCTGTTGAGTATCAACTTTACTAACCAATAATCCGTAGCTCAACACAAAAAACTATTTATTGACACAGTTGACAACCAGTGAAATTTTTAATGAGACTTATTTATTTAGCTTTCAATAACTGTGTTTTATACTTTGCACAAATTATTTTTTGCAGAGAAATCTTGCAGATTCAGAAAAAGAACTTGTTGAACAACTGAACACATTAATTTCTGCAATTGAAACAAAAAAACAAGAACTAACAGAACGTTTACGAGATGAAAGAACCAAACGTATTCATTGTCTCAAGGAACAAATTAATCGTGTCACATCATTATTAACTAAATCAACTGGTCTTATTCAATTTTGTATTGAAATGCTCAAAGAAAGTGATCCATCTGCATTTCTTTTGGTAAATTAATTCTTCATAACATATTCATGTTTCTGATTACCATATTATCTCATCTTTGGTTAAAGTCATCAGAAAACATTACTAAGCAAAGGTTGATGGTGGCTAGCAATAAAATCCAGGACGCGTGTCCCGTTCTATATGGGACTCGTCACCTAGATGTACCTGCAGACCCGAGTTGATGTTCACTCTGGAACTCAAACCCAGTACCGTTCGCTTCAAATGCTACCACTTTATCCACTTAGCTACTGAGTCTTGATAGCCACTAGCTTGTGCAATAAGGTGTGGTTTAAATTTGTTTTGTATTGTTTGTATTTATCTCCTCACTGATGTTTAAGGTGACAATTGGTCAGTCTCTTATTGGCATATGTGTATACTGTACGGATTGCCTCGATATTGCCTTGAGTCATAAGTATTATAAGTAAAGATGTACGGTGGCTAGCAGTATCAAAACAATCCGAGAAGGATGAACATTTGTCAATAAGAAACTGGCTAATTGCAGTCCCAAACACCAATAAGAAGATTCAAACAAACAATGCGAAAAGAATTAAAAAACATTACTGTTTTAATTACGAATAGTATTGAATTAATAACTTTAGGATAGCTAAGTTAATAAATTTTAGTTTATTGCTTTTGTGAACCCTTGGAATGATATTTTTTCTAAAGAAAACAAATACCAGTTAATGAAAAAAGTAATGACCAAAAATATTTTGTTATTCTACACTACTCGTGAAGTAAAAGTTCATTTTCTGAATACTAAATAAGTAAGCTAATTGTCAGTATAAGGTTGTGGAGATTGTTGAGTTTTGATTGAGATCATGAATCGATCAAGATTAGACCACCATTGAAAACCTGGAAACACTGTATGGTCGTTTCATCCTAGTATGTGACCCCTCGACAGTGCGCATCCACGATCTCACGTACGAAACATGAACCCGGGACCTTCGGTATCCAACAACGTTAAAACATTTGTTAGTTTGTTTCTTTAAATGAATTAATTGATGGTTGTGAATAAAACACCAGTTGTGATTTAATATGAGTATTATTAGTTTGAAACGATATGAATTATAGAGGCCAAAATTCAAACTCCTTTGGAATTATCTCTGAAGAATAGTTGAACTAGAATGTGCCAAATTATCAGATACAAATTGGAATTTAATAAACAGAAAGTATGTTTTTAAGCTTCAAACTAATAAACAAGCAGAATAATCTTGATCTGCTTAATGTCAATAATTTCGAGGATATTTCTCTCTTATATATATATATATATATATATATATATATATATATATATATATATATATATATATGGTTCACGAAGTATAAAAATAAAGTCCAAAGTATGAAGTTGTTCAAACCTGTATTTCAAAAATACTTCTACCCAAGCTCCATATCATATTTCTTCTTCAGCTAGATACATGAGTAGTTAAAAGAGTACAAGTTATTGGATTGTAAATCAAACTTATTCATCTCGAATGTAGTTGGATTAAAATCACTCCTATCTCAGTGAAAGCAATAGACAAAATCTGATAAAACATAACAATATTTGATCATTAATCGTGATATATCTTGTATTCTCTTAAGAAGATTATATTCAGTAATAATAATCCATTCGGAAGTATAGTTATATAAAAAATATTTTGTAAATAGTCTTTCATCATACGTTTATTGATTTAATTTATTTCACAATGTTCTCTAGGATGTGAAATATTTTTTTACTTACTGTAAAATGTTTGAGAAGTTTTTGTTGTATGCACTAATATGTCTGAATATCAACAAAATAGACATGTATATATCTATGGCATTTAAAAAGTTAAATGTATCAATAATTTCCTGGTAAATAATACTGATGTTTACAGTTTGTATTAATTAATCATACATATATAAATATTAGTATTCTTTATTGACAGAATACATTATTGCTGTTACTAGGTGGTAATAACACTGTTCATTACAGATCACATGGATATCAAATATATCTGTTACAGGTTGAATGATATTTTTTTGACATTTTCATTATGACATTTTAATATTATTTTAATTTATATTAAACAATAATTATCAATGTTTATTCTAATAAATATCCACTGTCTTAGACTAGCCATATTGATTAAATAATGTATAGAAAATGTGTAAAAGTAAATCAATTACTTAATCATCTATTAAAATATTTAAGTATAAAGTTATTTTAATTCAAATACTTTTACATTTTAGGTATCTCAATCACTTATCACACGTACTCAAAATGCAGAACAAAATTTTATACAAGAACTTCAACATACATCATCCACTAATGATATTACTGGATCTTTATTATCACTTGCTTTATCATCAAGTAAAGATTATTCACATCATTCACCTAAGAAAAGAACACTTAAATCAACTGAAGAGATTTCTGGTAAATACAATAATCTTGCTAGTAATGTTAGTGGAACAAGTACATCTAATCGATTGAACAAAACATTGGATTTATTAGGTGTGAATAGTGTTGATGCAATACTTCGAGCAATTTTAAATTTAGGTTTAGAAGAAGATCAAAGTAAGTAATAAAGCTTTATTAAAGAGATATCGTTTTATATACATTAGATTGTATATTTTAAAACCTCGAAATTAGTTTTATCTAGTTAATAATTAATGGATATTTTGAATCACTGATATTGATTAAAAATACACTTTACATTTTATAATCTCTAAGATATTAGTACCATAGTTTATTCGTCAATAAGTAAGAAAGTTTCAATTTTTATTAATTAACTGAACATATCAGAATGAAAAGACTAGATTTAAATAAAATATCTTTTATTTTGTAGTATTTATCCATTTCTCTTGCTATGTGCTCAGTAACATAAATTGTTACGTATTCTAAACTGTAACTGAGATCTACTTAATGATCTGAAAAAAAGGTTGGTTAAAAGAACCATTAAAGAAAACAGTTTCTTCGAGACGAATAGAAAGTTTAAGTTGTCTCCTGCATCAAAACATTGATTTATCAAAATCTTAAATAAAATAAATGGTTCGTAATCAATATATATCGGTTTACAATATTTTCAACGAAGAAAAAAACAAAAAAAGAACTAGACAGAGTAGTAGTGTATAATAACAGCAAAAAAATGCAATTTAACTAAAATGTAATTCAGCTAAATAAATAATTCAACTCTTATTTACTGTCAAAAAAAGAATGTAAAGCTTAAAGAATGTTACATGACATTCTATATATTGTCTCATTAATAATTGATTACCATTAGGATAAGTTAGTTTTCTTTAATTACTGATGTCATTAAGGTAGGTAACAATAACAAAACAGTCATAGTTTCAATCATAGAACACTTTAAACTCGATATCTTAGTGGTTAAGCGTTCGTGCGCGAGACCGATAGGTTCTAGGTTCGAATCTCGCGGGGCCGCGTCGTGGGTACGTACTGCTGAGAAGTCCCATACTAGGACGAAACGGCCATCCAGTGCGTTCAGGTTATCCATGGTGGTCTAGCTTTAATTGACTCATGATTTCAACTATTGAAATGACTGAAATCTACACAAAACCTTTTTTAATATAATCTGTTCTGAATGTGTAAGTAAACTAGCAATTATTTTGTGAATATATCACGTTTTAAACTTGATACGAATGAATGATATGTATTTGCATATAATGAAATAATTAATTAACATGTACACATAGTATTTAGTTTATTTTCTTTATATACAACTGTTTACTTCTGACTGAAAATCAGCTTGTAATCTTTTTTGTACTATTATATTCAAAATAAAGAATGATTCTTATGTATCATCTAAAGTTTGATTATACCACTTGAAAAATGATTTATTCTGATATAATCAACTTTATCATTGTAGTGAATTTTAAAAGTAATCATAGAGTTGCATATAGAACAGAAAGAAAAAATTTTCATCATTTATTGTTATAAGAAAAGCATAGTGATATTGATAGATAGTTTGTAAACTGATTGATTGATGATAAACTAGTGAGAAATAGACTTATTAAGAAACAAAGAAACGTCTAAAAGATCTGCATCATTAAAAATACTGTTATATTTGATCGTTTTAATTGTTTGATTTATTTAATAACTTTTGTGAAAGTGTTCAAAGTTAATTATATTCATATTTCTACAATCAAATAACCTAATGTTGACATACATAAAGTGTAAATTAGATGTCTAGCATTGTATTGTATCTGGCAAGAATAAATGAGCTCACTGGAAGCTGTATGACTGAATTATATGACGGTTTTTACCAATAAAACTATGTATTGTTTATGAACTTAACCGGAAAAAGTGTTTTCTATTCTACATCCATAAAGAAGCATTTATCGCCTTTCATTTGTATCAATATCTTTTTTACAAGAAAGAAAATAGAAACATTTTACTCGTTAACTACAACGTTAAATCAAACTATCTTGGGTACAAACAAAAAATAAAAAAGAGAAAAGAACGAATGAATGATTACAGATATATATATATATATTGTCTGTTATGTAAAAAAATATTATATAACTCAATTATGAACGTATGCTATAGAATATGTCCGTCAGAAGTAAAAGATTTTTCTCATTTATATGCAATCTCTATAAGTTTCTATCTACATATCCAACTACTATATATATATATATATATATATAAACTATGAGTTAGCCAAGTGCAAGTATATATACTCACTAATATACATGATTATTGATTAAACTGGCTTTCAGTCTAACTTGTATACTTATTATTCACAGCATTGAGGATAAATCAACTATTAATTCTATTCCAAACCTGTCCAATGAAAATGTTTATATATATAATATTAGATTTGTATGATATATCTTTCTATAATATGAAATATAAACTTAAGAGCTGAAATAAATCAGAATTACTAACCGAATGTTAACTAGTCTGTTATTACATATTTCTCAGCTTGGTTTTTTAATCAAGGTTATTGCTTCTGTTATTGTTGTTGACCGCCTTTTTCATTCTCATTTACAAATCCCATTTTCTCTTATACAGTTATTTTATTTATTCATTTATCACGTAGAATAAACTAGTAGGAGGAGGTTAACTATATTTCTAATTTTCATTTTGTTCATTTTAATAAATTAAAATAATTATAATTTCTTTAATATGTATAACTTGTTCGTCATATATATGTCAAACGGTCCTTGGAATTTTTCAATAAACGGAATACTCGCTGAACTAACTTTTCTTATTTAATATATATATATATATATATATATATATATATATCACAATTACTTACAAATGCATTTGTTTTTTGGTTTTAGTTTGTACGTTGTTGCTGATGACAGACTAGTGTCATTGTTTTTCTGAAATATAAACAAATAGAAAAGATAGTAAAAATAAATTTCTTAATAACTAAACTCAAATAATCCCGCGAGTGAGATTGTGGATGCACACTGCTGAGGAGTTTCACAACCGAACGAAACGGCTGTTCAATGTTTCCAGGTTTTCAATGGTGGTCTAACATTGATCAATTCATGGTCTCATTCAAGAACTTAAGTTTTAATTCTTACATAAAAAATGTGCATAATTTGATAACTGACTACATGTATACATAAATTAAGATTTTTGTACGTAATTAGCGAAGATTAAACAAATTTGTTCTCATTGATTATTGAATGGTATCTAATGTAAGTTAACAACCAGATTAAGTATTTCAGTCATGAAGAATATCAGTCATTGCCTAAATAGCATAATGACAACATCCGTTTGTGGAATTGGGTAATACATGCTCGAATCTTATATGAACAATTGATTTCTCTCAAGATTTCAGGTGGATTCAGTAAGCGATTGCAGTTATAGTTTCTTGTCAAATGAATTTATCAACGTAATATTAAACTACTTACATCTTTAAATAGAATTTATTTTTTTTATCAGTATATCTTATACATTTGTTGCATATTGTCAATAATACTTGTTAAGTAGTACCTGTACAAACTTTCAAATCATTCAAATATAAATACCAAATTAATCCCTTGCTACAGTCCATTCAAGTAAATTACGATCAGTTGACTTCTGATTATGTTCAATTTACAAATAAAACAATTATCCACAGGAAAAAAAACTTCACTGATATGAAATGAGTTAAATCATGAAAACTAGATAAACGAAAAAGTTTACTATATCAAGTAGGGTATTTGAAAAAAAATCATTTAGAAAACAGTAGTCATTTTTTAAACACATAAACTCATAATGTATTTCAACACATATCAATATATAACTTCATTACCTAATCACATTATGCTCATAACTTTTAATTAGGCATGAGATATTGCCTTTTGTGATAATAAATTATATGCAGATAAACATTTAAACCAGCACAGGAGGACCAAATTTAAATTAATGATAAATCAAATTATTTGTATCATTGTAGTCAACATGTTTGGCGTTGTTACGTCAAACGTTTCTCTGTTAACATTGTTACACTACTAATCTATTAATAAGATACGAACAACACTATAACACTTAATGGCATTTCTAGATTGTCACCTGAAATAATAAATAGAAAGCTGTCTAGGCTATATGATAGATATCTTCCTGCATGAAGAGGAAAGTCCACTCATAAGACTATATAAAGTTGTAACAGTCGTGAACAGACTCAAAACATAAAGTCCATATTATGATATAAAAATTTTAAAAAGGATTGACAATCACGAAAATAAATGAAATTACAGACAAACAACAAAGGTAGTATTACATCATTTGCATATGTCAACAAGAGACTGATCTTTTACGGTCCTAAACAACAATGGGAACATACAAACAAATAACACCAAGTGAATTTAAACTTCACCCCATTGCACAAGCAGATAGCTATCAAGACTGAGTCGCTAGGCGGATAACGCGATTACGTTTGAAGCGAATGGTATTGGGTTCGAATGCCAAAGTGTGCATCAACTCAGGTGCAGGTACATCTAGGTGACGAGTCCCAAATAGGACGGGACGCGCGTCCTGGATTCCACTGTTAGTCACTATCCATCTTTCCTTAAAACAACTTCATTTGTTATAGAAATTAGAATTCTTAGAGTTTATTATATAAAAAGGAAGTGTACTATTTCATTCTTTAGTATGTCTAAGCAGGGTTAAGATTACGAAGATTTTGATATTAGTTCAGGATTTGTTCTATATTTTAATATATAAATGTTTATATATTCTATAATAATGCTTTTACTGGAACTAATAGTACACTATTTTTTTGTCAAATTCATAAATGTTTTTTTTTCATAGAGCTGAACCTATAAATAAATATAGTACTTTTTCCACATTAAATAATTGTTATTTCATATAGCTATGAGCAAAATTATAACCATGGTAATGATTAGGATAATAACAGAATGGCCTATATTTTTGTTTGTAATTTATTAGAGAAATAAAGAGAAATGAGAAATAAAAAAATATATAGCTATTAGAAATTGTGATTTATTCAAAGCTAACAAAAATCTGAACTTAACATGATAAATAGATAAATTCTTACTATTTTCAATTCAATACTTTTGCTTCCCTTGGAAAAATGAAGATAACATTGACTTTAT